AATATTAGTCGCTGAGAGGCATGGATGAAATTGCACGTTTCTTTAATGAGTTTGTGTTAAATGACCATTTTTTCTTCATTAAAACTCTCAAGTCTCTTTTACGACCATTTTGTGCGTTTGATGTAGACAAATGGCATTTTACGATTGCAAGACCATTAAACCGCAAGATAATCGTAAATATTCTATTTCCCCATAACAGTGGGAAAATTATGTTTAACAAAAACGTGGTTAAATAATGTATTTTGAAGGTTTTAATAACATTTAAAACACTGAAGACATAATAATGTATAGCACTGTGAAAAAGTATTTCTTCTTGATACCATTTAAATCCGTTTCAATTTGCTTACATTGGTTTTTTATTTTTAAATAATATTTATATAGAAATATTTTTTTATTTGATTTATTCATGAATGTATAATTAATTTATTCATTTCATCTAAAGTTCATCAGGTGTCTACATAGTTTAATGAATATTTTTTATTATATTCTATCATACTCTCAATACAAAAACGTGTGGCTTATCTGCTGGTAATATTGAATTGTCCTCTATTAAAATTCCTAATTGAAATTTTGATATGTACTTGTAAAATTAACACCGAGTCTCAGGCGTTTGGTGACCGGTTGGGCCCCTGACTTTAGGATATTTAGAAGTATTTCGAGTGATATTAGTAATTATATTGCTGAGCAAGATGTATAAAGCCTTACTATATTTAGAAAGTTTGGCATTTTGGTAATTAAAAACATGTGAAAAATAAGTACATCTGCCATCTTTACATTTAATTGACATAGTTGCATATAATACGAAAATGCAGCATTACGGAAGTCTGCTCACAACAATATGTATTTTCCATGATCAGAATTTTCACATATTGCGTCCAAAGCTTTTTCCTAAATTTCCGAAGCTAATTTACTTTTGATTTTCTAAAATGTCATAACATTGTTGCATGCTCAACGTTCTAAACTCAAAACACACGTACCACAGTACAGAACTCTGTTTACCTCTGCAAACTACTACAAAACGCAAGCGGCTCGCATTTCGCAAAATAGTTATTACATTGGCTGCCATATTGCAGCACAATGTAGTCACATAAATGGAGGGTGCTCAGAAGCGACTTGTACTTGGCTACGTGATCAAAAAGAAAAGGAAACTTGCGTGACTCTCGATCATTAAGCTCAACCCGAGTATAGATCAGGCTTGGGCTTCAATGTGTTACTGAGGCTAGATCAGACTGGTTTCAAGATGCCTGTATTACTTTCTCACTTTCATAAAAGACCTCTTGTTCCATACTATGAAATGCCTGTTTAACATTATTACAAATTAAACTACATGCAACTTAAATAAACCGAAACAGTGTATATTGGAAATAATACCTTATTAAAGTAGTACTTCAAACTTACCTCCCACAGTGCGAATTTCTTCGTTCAAGGAAGATGAAGTGAAGAATAATATAAAGGACAGGGACGATACAAATTAATGTTTTTGAATTGAAAAGCTTAGAAATTTTAAGAAGTAAGGAACACAGGTTAGTCTGAAAAAACGCATAGAATCAAGCATTTAGTATTAATGTTAAGAATAAATAAAACTGACAAAATTAAATGTTCGAATTTTTTTAATTCTTAGAAACTAAAGAAATTATTCAAAAGTTCACATTTTCAGTCATGTTTATTATTCATATTACAAAAATAAATACAAAATTCCAAAATGATTGTGCGCGAAACAACCGTATTGGAAAAACCACAGCACTGATTTTCTTAGTGCTTTAGGTCCATGGAACGCACAGTACATCAATGGTTACATTTTATGTTCCAGTGAAACGGCGAATACAGGTCCACAATGGGTTGCATGCGATCACATTTTATCCCCAAATACTCACACACAAGTGTTCCATAACATTCACACAATTCCATCGTCATTATACTGTACACTGAATTTCATCTGATTATTTCATTGTCACTTCAGCCTCGAGGAAAAGAACCAACAGTCTAATGCTATCGAATTTATGGCATCCAAAATTGTATATTATAATAAATTACTGCATTTTTTATATTAGAAACGTTAGTCATTTAATTATTCATTTCCTTGTAAAAATAAATTTCTTTCTTTACTATGTGAGCCATGGGTTAACATAGCCTTTCTTTCACGTATTCTTCAATCCTTTTACGTTGCTTCTTTTCATAACTCAAGATCTGTGTGGCAGACTTCTGAAATATTCCACAAATATTCTCAATATACGGACACTAAATATCCATCAAACGTAAGAACACTTACGAAAGGATCATAAAAATCTCAATGACCTGTTGATCCATATATACTATAACATAATTTGAAATGCAAACATTTAATATCATAAAAGAAACAGTCAAGAATACATCGCTATCATTTATGTTCATACTGTCAAGTCCAGATTAAATAACATTAGCGATCTATTTATTAAAGTTGGTAATGAGAAGGCTAACATGCATTTACTCTTTAGAATAAACGACATATATATTCGATTAACAGAAATAATTTCTCGACGCTTATATCACTCAACAAGAAAACATTATTTTTCAACATCTGGGAAAAGTCCACTATTTTTTTACATACAATTTATTCATAGAGAACATGAACATACATTCATTGCTGTAGATTCCGTAACAATGTATCAAAGTAATGTGATTTAAATCAAGGGAACTAATGTCTTGTTTAAACGTTTTTTCCAAGTAAAACAGTTTTATTTCTAATACAATACAATACCTTTTTAAAGCGATTAATATCGGAAATAAGTTAATAACTTGATTTTCACAAATACAATAAGAGTAAATAATAGAAAGTTAACATGTTTCTGAAGAAATTAGAAACGTATAAATCACTTTAACTCCATGCAAGCAATAACATAAGGAATTGAATTTGTAGCAGCCTTTAGTGCTCTGCAAGTACAAAATTTAATTTATTAATTTGGCTTTGTTTTTCTATTGTGCCATTAGATAAGTGAATTATATCCTAATATTTTTCATTTTAAGTATGCAGAGACAAACCATTATCTTTTTTGAAGGAGGTGACACTGCAGTGTAACACTGGACGTTGCCAGTATTACACTGGAATGCAATACTGCAAAAAGTACAATGGTTATTGAGGATTCTTTAATCTGTTAGCCTCCCACATATAATACACAATTCAATCAATGAGGATGACAATATTAAGTACTATTTTCTTATGCTTAAGGAAATAACATAACGATATGCATGATTTATACTCTTCTTATGTGTTTGCAACAATCGTTTTTATACCGAAGTGTAACAACACTGAGTTAAGTTTGATTAAAAATGTCTTCAGCCTCAATGTGTGTTGTTCACTATGTCTGATTTAGTTCCTTATTATCAGATGCGTTTGAAAATATACTTGTATTAACAATTTTTATGTAATATCAAGTCAATATGTCGTTTTGAAATTGAGAAATTCATTTAGAGGCAGCAGACAAAACATTCTATGCCTACTTCGTATTTGTATTTCTATACATCATCTTTTCTTACCAATGTAAATCAATATTATAAGAAAATTCCACTCCTACATGATTTTTTATTCATAGAGGTTACTGCTCAAACATTGTTATTGTATGTAGTGTGTTTACACCATTTAAATTCATATATTTGAATAATTCGTTTAGTGTTTTAGAATATTGTATAAGAGAATGAGTTTGTTACACTGAAATGATTTTCAAATTTAGATTGTGCGATGTATTCCGAGCTTTGCCCATTCAATTTTCCACCAAATTTTGAGATTTCATTGTCCCGTAAAAATATTTATTCTGATCCAGATGACGCATCTGAAGGGAATGAACTGGTAGCAAATTAGAATATGTGTAGATAATATAATAAATATATAAATTTAATGATAGAGGCCAGGTGAAATCTAAACAGGACTACTTCTCAATTAATCCATTTATTTTATGATTTCTCTGCGTAATTTCATGTAATTTTTAATTTGAACTGTAGATGGTATTTGATGCATTAACTGCAAGGCAAGGATATTTCTCGAGTTAATGAAAAAATATTTTCTTTGTACTGAGACCAGATGTAGAAGGTGGCGAATTGAAAGGTCTCAATTTTGGGGCAGCAATTAAACTTGCGAATAAAAAGGATATAACATTTGTTGATTTCCAACTACAATATTCACACGATGATATCCAATTTTAATTAACATATTCACAGGGTATACTCAAATTGTTGCTACTAATTTATTAAAAATATATCTCTTATTATTACATCGTATTCTCTTTATTTCATGATAAATGTAACAGCCACGTCACATTGTGCAGTATTTACCACTTAATATGGTACATCTGCCTAGGCGCATGTTAAAGATAAAATATTTTTTCTGAATACTACAATATGCTTTTTCAATAGAATGATTAAATATTTTACCGCCATCCTTAAAAATAGTTTGGCTTGCAGAAAAGGTAAAACCATCAAACTATTACAAAATCTATCTGAATGGATATAATTTTCATCTTAAATTTATATTTCATCATTTTGGCTGTAAAAGAATAAATTGTTCTCACTTGTACACTGAAAAGAGAAATCAATGGTGATTTGAATTTCATAAATCAAAATATATTTAAAAAGCTTTAAGATCAGAAAGGATGTTAGACAAATGATATTACTTACTTCTCAAACAAAATTCATACCTAATATATTAAAGCTCATTGATTAGAAAATAAATTGATGTAAAGCTTTCTTATTTATTTCAAATTATGTTCAGTATTGTTTTGTTTCAATAATAAGACCTTTCTTAATTATCGAACAATATTATTGTTCTCGTTTGCATTTCTCTTGTCTAGGTTTATTCTTAGATACCAAATAAAATTTAACTCTAAAGAAGTAAATCTATTTAGTACTTTGATAAACTTCTTTTTTACCGTATACCAAATAATTCCTCACATGTATGATACAATATAAGAAACACATACATACAATCAAGTGATACGATGGAAGTTGCGAAATATATCTACAAACACTTCCTATTGAGTAGAATCACTGGCGTTGAAGTGGAGTTTGCTGAAACTTCATCGGCATTTCGATAATATGCAGCTGAAATGATTACAATGATCTTTTATTTACTTCATGCTTCAATTAATGCTATAGGATAGAGCAGCAAGCAATTCGAGCATATTATATTCATTCGCACGCAGCAGCCTTGTCAGCATAACGCGCGTAGAGTGTTATTACTTGCAATAGTTAGTTAAGAGCGTTTTGAAATGCAAGGAACATTGTCAGTACACTGCAGGGTTTGGATTACAGAACAATAGATTTCCTTATCGGAGAATTTTTTAAAAGGCAAACAGGAAGAACCACAATTGAATTACATCATAATACATATTGTATTTGTTGGACATTCAACATAAACTTTTATATCAACTTTCCAAGTCTGTCATCTTCAACAGTTGTTGGCGTTCTGTTGCACCAAGATATTCCTAAGTTCGCAATATGAATATAATATTGTCATTAATTCCGATCAGTCACTGTGTCAATGCAATAAACCAAGCGTGTGATCCCGTGAAACGCACCAGTACCATTGAAAAACTTACAAGTACGCAGAGAGATTACCATCGGTTGTAATGAAATATGCACTCAGTTAAGTGAAACGCCTTATACCGTAGATTTTCGAAAGTTACTTTTGAAGAAAGTACGAAAATATTATAAAAAAATCTCTGTAATAGGGGAGAAATTATTATTGCGTCGAATAATGTTAATTCAAAACAACCAAACGTGTAAATAATAAAACAAATTAATGATAAATCATTTTTTTCTCAATTTAATATTTACATCGCGTTATGTTACACCGCAAAACCAAGACAAAAACTGAACAAATCATTTTGAGTCGTTGAGATTGAACACAGTTTTTCTTAGAGAACACATGACTCATCACTAACTATAGGGCCATTCCAACTATAGAAATGTTAGAATTTTATCTGAAGAAATATTATTTTAATGAATAACTATTTAAACACTTGATAAGAATTTATAGTTGAGCACAAAGTAATTGATTACATTTATTGGAATGAGCGGGGTATTAGAACTCAAAAGTTACATCACGAAAGTTGCTCAAACGAAATATTGCCCAACAAACTAAAGTTAAGCATAATACGCGAGACCAAAGTGGACGACCTGCTTGTTATGCTCTGGCCCTGCGATTATCAGCGGAACACCGGTGTGGCCCACTGCTAGCTAAGCCAGCTCACGGCAGAGAAAGGGCGGGGAGGGGAAGAGTTAGGGCGCAATCGGTTTTAGTCTGGTAAAAAGCGAGAGGCACACGGGGCATTGCATGGGGTACCGCGTGCAATGTAACACCAATCCTTGCATTTGAGCAGCACGAGCATAATACACATGAATCTGCAAATTATGACGCTTTGGGCTGTATTTATTCATTCGTAAAATACTCATGCAGTTTGTGACACCTTAACGTCAACGATACATGAGATACCACGCTTGGTTGCACCATATTTTCTATCTAAATTCCTTCACGTTGATGCACACCACCAGTATTTCTCCTCACGTTCGGTATTTCAGTTGACATCTCCAAACAGGTACACACATATTGAGAAAAAGACCTTTTGTGCTCCTTTCTAGGTTCACTTGTAGCGTATTCTTGTGTAGGTGTAGACATTTCCATTTGCTCTGCAAAGGCGGGCACACGCTTGCATATGCTTTTACAGAAATATCTCCCTACACATATTTTTCATTCCAAGGCCACGACACGCGTAATTATTTGGTTAGAGGTTTTGCTGAAAGAATTTTTTTTATATACCGAAAAAATATATATAGTTTTTCGTAAAAGAGTGAAACATCCATGCATTTTTTATCTACTGTCCGTATGAAGCTCGTACATATCGTGTTGTTTTAAGGTTGTAATTGAAGAAGCAAAAATTGTACTGAGATCATCAAAGTTTGAGATCATTTCACAAATTATTTTTCTTTAATCGTTTTCGGATTTACGAAAAGAAAAAAACATAGTTATTTTGAAAATTAAAAAAAAATTAAAAAAACTTGTGAATTTATTTGACGATTTTCGAAGACCCGTTTTTCTTTGCGTATCGACAGCGAAAAATGTCCTTGGCGTACGCCTAAGTGGCGTTGTCATTGCCACCCAGTTCCGAGATCGACCGCCGGAGGCGCGCGCGGCGGCGACCGGCGGCGGTCGCGCTTCGGCAGCGGGCCGCCAGGCGCGCTGCGGCGGCGGCGCCTACACGGCGTCCTCCCCAGCGGGCAGCAGCGGGCAGGCGGCGGCGGCGGCGGCGGCGGCGGCGGTGCGGGTGGCGCCCGAGCCGTTGGGCAGGCGGCCGTTGCCCGCCGCGCACCCGGCCGGCGGCCCCAACAGCGTGGTGGTGGTGGTGGCGCTGGCCGTCGACTCCCGCTTGTGGTAGGGGCTGCCGCCCGCCGCGCCCAGCAGGCTGCCGCCGTACGGGAGGTCCCCCAGGCTCCGGGCACGACGCGCGGGCGCGGTCAGGCACGGGGCGGGGGGCCAAGCGAACCACAACACACACACACACACACACACACACAGCCGTCTTAACTGCCTAGGGCCGGAACCTCGTGTCTTCATATTTGTAACTTTTGTTTCGTATTTGTCTGCAAATGCCATGACATAATATGTTGTCCTTGGCCAATTTTCAAAGACATTAAATCATTCATTATTTTGCGGTTATCCAACGCTGCCCCTGGCAGGTATCAGCTGTTGACAGTTTCATCCAATCGGGAGTTTGAACGTCACCATAGAGACGTCACTATGGTAACGTTCGAGCTCCCGATTGGATGGAAATGTTAACAGTTGATACCTGCCAGGGGCAGAGTTGGGTAAATCGCATTATACATATACTTTCTTTCTTAATCATTTTTTATTTCAAAAAATTTGTTGCCAGAAACTTTATTTGTAATAAAAATGTATTATGAAGAAAAGCATATGAAGTGAATGATTGAATTGTCTCTAACAATTAGCCAAAGACAGCGCATTATGTCTTCATATTTTCATAAAGATTTGTGCGCGATTGTTTCTGTAATTTTTAATACATGGCATTTTTTAACAACTTGACAACTTTGCAATTATAAATTTCGTATTTTACGTCTGTGAATTATGGGTTTCAAAAATGTCGTGAAATTAATTCAACGTTCATTTATTGGCGCGTAAGCTATTATGAGAAAATAAATTTAATTCGTTAGTATCCAATTAGGAATCAACGAACAATCCCATAAGTGCTGGAACTAATGTAATATATAAATGATTTGTCAACTGATCTCGTCTTAAAAATGGCAAGTTATGGACAGAAAACTACGTAATGGAACCTAAAAAGTGAAACTTTTAGAACCATAAAGCTTCGTTATTATCATTCAGTTTTTATGGGGATGTTTTTGCACTCGTAAGTGGAATTCATTACTATTTTCTTTTTCTATTTCGCGGGTCTTTCAAATTCACCGATCGTAAGTAGACCCTAGCGAGCTAAAATGTCAAGACGGCTTTGCGCGCACACACAAAACACACATGTGAATACTACACGGGGTGCAGAGTGCAGGGTGGGAGGATGGGAATGAAGGGTTACAGGAAAGCACTACGGTGTTCCACTACACGACAATCACAAGATTACGCAGGTGTACATCTAATCACATCTAACGCAAACGGAGGGACATGAGAGGATTTGATAAAAAGAGACACTGAAACGTAGCCGAAAGCAATAACATACTGGCCGATCACAAGTACACGTCACACACAAGCCTAATTAAAACGAGGAATATGATTAGATGTCTCTTATGCTGACATCGGATCCAAAACCTTACACATTAAAAGAACTACTACTTGTAAAAGAAGCATGAGTATGAATAGGTGCAAATAATTAATCAAAAAACGTTTATAGAACAAAATTACGAAACGACAAAGTGAATGAACCAGAACAAATAAGAAAAATTAATTGTAGTATTATGAAGTGAACTTGGGAAAAAAAGGCAAATCTCAAAAAGAACTGGAAAGGTACGACCGAATGACATATTATTTTGTGAAAGAGATGAAATAAAAAAGATAAAATCTGAAAAAATGAATAAAAATAAAACAGGTACTTATAAAAAAGTAAATATATACGGAATATTTGCGTTTTATACGTACACCGTAAAAATTTTACCGACACAAAATAGCTTTACAAGAAAAATATTATTAGACTGAGAGATAAGTATTAAGAAATACAAAATAAAATATAGAGAAAAAACGGTCTGGAACAGCTTAGCCAATAAAATGTTGTTTGTAAAGAAGAAAAAATTGTCTTCACGTACTTCCAATACAAGGATTGCAGGCTGGAGGCTATGTTGGGTCATCAAAAATCTACAAAAGAGAGAAGCCCTTATAAAGAATACCACGTAAGTGGAGCAAGAGAGGGTTGTCATTCCTTTCGCAGCGTACAACCAGCACCGAAACATTTACCGGTGATACGAGTCTGTTCTCAACAATAATGCCAATATTGAACGCCATCACGCGCCGAAATGCTACCGCATTATAAAATCTAAAAAAAATAATTTCCCATCGTTCAGAATCTAACCAGGGTTCGTGTGCATGGAAAGATATTATAATAACCATTAGGCACCTGGGAGGTTACAACAGAAGGAATAAGAAATTTATATTTCGCTTGAATTTTATTAATATTTCATTAAAAACAATTTCTACTCAACAACAAAGGAAACAGTAAAATTAGGAAAGAAATTTGTGCTGAATTAAATATCTCAGAATGATTGATGGCAAGAAAAAAATCGAATCATCGTTTTGCAGAGTGTTAAAGACTAAGTTTGTGTATTATGGAACACAAATGACCAGAAATTCAGTTAAATAAAACAAATGTGATTATCGTATCTAAAAACAATACAAGTAAAAAGTTGCATAATACAAGGGGCAGTCAGAAACTAATGCTTTACTTTATTTTGTTGTTTTTTCCAGTAAGTTTAGAACTATTAGGACAATTCTAATTTTGCGCCTTTCTTCAGACCTTCTTGCATCGTGCTTGTCAGTAACAGTGTTGCTGGTCTACGGTTAGCACCACTGAACATTAATGCAATGGCTGATATCGATGTGTTAAAGCAGCGAGCTGAAATTGAATTCTTGAATTCGTAAGGCCAGTGGCCTCTTTACCTCTACAAAAGTTTAAAAGAGTTTTATGGAGATGCCACAGTGAATGTTAGCACTGTTTGGAGGTGGGTTCCATGCTGCAGAGAAGTCGGAAAAGAAGAACAATGTGACCTGGCAGATGCACCAAGGAGCGGTCGTCCGCACACCGCGGAGAAAATTCATCGTGTCGATGACATCATTATAGATAATCGCCGGGTAACCACTAGTGAATTGTGCTCTATAATATCAATTAAAAATGCAGTGTAATGGCTACCATTGAACATTTAAGTCATTCGAAAGTTCGTACTCATTGGGTACTCAGAACTCTAACACATACAAATGCGAACTGCCAATCTCTTGCACTGTTTGAAGATGGACGGACAACAGCTCTTATAAAAGATTGTCTCAGGTGACGCAATGTTCTGCTCTAAAAGTCTTCGCACCTCTAAAAGTAAGCAGACACGGTCAACATCTCCACGACAGTGAAATTTTGAAGAACGCCGTGCGTCAATGGCTGAAAAATCAGGGCTACAATTTCTGCCATCACGGAATACAGGCTCTGGATCAATGTTAGACCAAAAAGTATGCAGTTAAATGGAGAATATTTTGTGTAATAAATGATTTTCTAAAGACCTTTCAGCCAACAGTTTCATAGCAATTTTAACTTTCTTCATTGAAACATAAATTAGGCGGCATTTGTTTCTGACTGATCTTTGTATATTGTGAACATTTGATCACTCGATATATAAATTGTGAGGATGGGCAGAAGAAGAAATAGAAGTAGAGGAAGAAGGCGAAGGAAAAATATTTCAAAAGAAGTGATCAAAAAGAGCGAAATAAAACTATAACGAATTTCCAGTGAACAAAAACGCACCCTGGAATGACGTCTCCATTCATGGACGTGACTTATTGCGGGGTGCGATGTCCCTCGGAAGGAAGCTTTCGCGAGCGCCCCAACAGGTCAATATGTTTCACCGGCCCCTCCGGGAGGGGATCTGACCGAAGGCGGGGCGGGGCGGGGCGTGGTGTGGCGTGGCGGGGCGGGGCGTGGCTGGCTTGGTGGAGCGTGGCGGGGCGAGAGCCCCGAGAGGGCGCTCGCACGCAAAAACGTCGGGCGGAAGCGAGCGCCGGCGCAGCGAGGAAGTGACGTCCCGCCGTGTCACATCCGGTCGATACGGGCGGGCGCGTGTGAGGCCGATTGGAGGGGGGGGGCGGCGGGGGAAGAGAAATTCGGGGAGCGGAGAGCAGTCTAATGAGTTCCCTATGAACGTCGCAAAAAGCGCACAAACGGATGCGCGCGTGGCGGGCGGAAACGGCGAGAGGGCGGAGGGGGAGGCGCGCCTTCCAGCAAGTTGTGTGAGCGGGGGACAGAGCGGAGCTTGTGGGCTGGGTAGGGCAGGGACTGACCATTGGGGTGGGTAGGGGGTTGAGCAGGGGTTTGAAGCAAGGGGTTTGAAGCAGGGGTTTGAGTCAGGGGGTTGAGCAGGGGGGTTGAGCAGGGGGTATGAGGCAGGGGGGTTGAGGCAGGGGGGTTGAGCAGGGGGGTTGAGCAGCGGGGGTTGAGCAGGGGTTGAAGCAGGGGGGTTTGGGCAGGGGGGTTGAGCAGTGGGGGTTGAGCAGGAGGGGGTTTGAGCAGGGGGGTTGAAGCGAGGCAGGGGGTTGAGGCAGGGGGGGTTGAGCCAGGGGGGTTGACAGGGGGGTTTGAGAGCAGGGGGGTTGAGCAGCTGGGGGTTGAGCAGGGGGTTGAGTCAGGGGGGTTGAGCAGAGGGGGGTTGAGGCAGGGGGGTTGAGCAGGGGGGTTGAAGCAGGGTTGAGGGTCCAGGGGTCTGAGCAGCGGGGGTTGAGCAAGGGTTCGAGGGCCCAGGGGGTTGAGCCAGGGGGCTTGAGCAGGGGTTTGAGCAGGGGTTGAGCAAGGGGATTGGGTAGGGGGGGTTTGGGGTAGGGGTGCGGGGAAGTCTGGGTGGGAGTG